GAACAGGTATATCCTTCTGCAATGCCCTTTGCTTTAGTTTAGGATGTGCCCTTTGATAGAGAACTTGACCTTTGACCTGCTTTCACGTTTCTGGGCCCTGGCAAGATACCCCCTCACGATGCTTTACTTTTACAAGGCCTGTATCGGGTAAAGGCCCTTTTACTCTCGCCGGCCTAGTTTCGAAGTCCTCTGAGAAATTAGTTACCTATCAATGATGTGAATTCCTCTCCTTTCTCTTTCATACGCAGACACAATATGAGGTCCAGAATCTAATAATTCTTCTCTTGTGAACCAGCGATCTTCACTAGGATCCTGGTATGCAAATCTCACCTTATATTGACGCTGTGGTCTGCCTCTACGAGCAGTGTGCAAAGTACTTTCTGCAACGATCTTATCCACGTCATACTTCCCATCCATACTTGGAGGTATCGCCAATCTGCGACTTGGGAATAGCTCATTCGTTACACAAGGTAAGAGCTTGGATGCGTGAAATACTGGATAGGTATGTAAGTGCAAAGGAATCTCAATGACATACGAAGGACAATCCACATCTCCAATCACATCTAGGACCTGCCAAGGCCCTCTGTAGGCGGGAAGAAGCTTGTGAGAAATGTTCTCTTCAGGAGCGAACTCTTTAGACTTCACCCAAACTAGATCTCCTACAACAAATTGAGACGGTCGTCCATGTTTATTCGCCTGTTCAATCATTTGATGTTGTGCTTTAATTATATTCTCCTTTACCTTCTCAATGTCTTTCTGGTATTGGATTGCGAATTCACTAGTCCCTAAAGGAAGCTTATGTACTTGATCCGGGTTTAATCGATCAATGGGTCTGCGTGGACGCCATCCCAGATGTAACTCCATAAGAGTTTTACATGTAGATAGATGCACAGAGTTATTGTAGCACTAGCAACCTTAGGCAGATGTTCATCCCAGTCAATCTGGTCAGGACGAATGTACATGCGCAAAGTCTGTTGTAATATCTTGTTCATCTGCTCAGTTTGACCGTTAGTCTCAGGATGTCTACCTGATGACATAGTCAACTTAGAGCCATACACATTCATTAGTTGTTGTCATTGTTCACTTGTGAACCTTGTATCTCTGTCACTTACGATAGTCAAGGAATGTCCAAAGTCTTTTACCCAATGGTTAAAGACCTCCCGAATTACCAAATCAGTCTTCGCTTCCGAAGGCAAAGCTACAAAAACAGCATACTTAGTGAATTTATCCACTATTACCATCACTTGCGTTTTTCCGTTTCTGCTTTTCACTTTAGTATCCATGAAGTCTATAGATACAGAGTCTCCAGGGCCTGTAGGAATAGGCAAGGGTTTAAGTAATCCAAGGGGAGATTGCGTGGTGCTTTTGTTTCTTTGGCACACTTGACAACCTTGCACATATGCGATACAGTCTGCTTTCATTCGAGGTCAGGTGTAGGAACGCAACAAAGTCCCATAGGTCTTCTTCCACCCAAAATGGCTTTCGGTATCATGGCATTCCCCTAAGATCAAGCTCTTGATCTCTTCATCATTCGGTATGCATAGCCTATCATCCACATCAGTTCTTTCAAACAATAAACCCTGAGTAACCTTGTGATCAGGAAACTCTGCTGGCGCTTCTTGTACACGCTTAATCATTGTTCCATAGACAGGATCAGAGGGATACGCACTCCTAATCTTCTCTTGTAGATCAACACCAATATCTAAATATGTCACGATGGCACCGAAAAAGTCAGATCTACGACTTAGTGCATCAGCAACGACATTATACTTACCCTTTACTGGCTTTAGCTCAAAATCAAACATATCAATCTCCGCAGCCCACCTTGTTAACTTAGGTGTCATTCGAGCCTGCGTTTTGAGCCAGCGAAGTGTTTCATGGTCAGAGTATACCTTAAAATGTCTTCCCAGGAGATAGTGTCGCCAATGATTGAGAGCCTCACGAGCATATAATTCTCTTTCATACGTTGAAGCGGCCACTTTCTCGTTAGGCAACCGACAATACATAAACTCTACAGGTCTGTATCCATGCCCGTCGTCTTGCTGGAGTACAACACCTATGCCATATTGACTAGCGTCGGTCGTGACCACGAAAGTTAAGGAACGGTCTGCCACTTTCAAAAACGGGTAGTTGATTAAACACATTTTTAGACGCTTAAAGGACATCGTGCAGTCTGAATCCCACTTCCAAATTACTTCTTTCTTAAGCAACCTGCGAAGGGGAGCAGCTATTATCGTAAAGTGTCTTACAAACTTGCGATAGTAATTGGCTAACCCAAGGAACGAACGCAACTCAGTTAAGGTGTGGGGGTTCGACCAATCTCTGATTGCTGCTATTTTAGCATCTTTCGGTTTGACCCCATCTCCATCAATCACATGTCCTAGATATAGAACCTGACGCTTAGCCCATTCACACTTCTTTGGGTTTATCTTGAGTTTTGCTTCTCGCAGCTTATTTAGCACAAGTTGAAGGTGCTCAACATGCTCTTTCTCGTCTTTGCTAAAAATCAAAATATCATTTAGATAAATAACAACAAATTTGTCAAGCCATTCACGAAATAATTCATTCATCGTTCTTTGGAAGGTGGCAGGGGCATTCGTGAGACCAAAGGGAAAAACTATGAACTCATAATGCCCATACCTTGTCCTAAAGGCAGTCTTATGTTGGTCTTCCGGTTCAACCTCAATCTGATGGTAGCCGGATTTCAAATCAATCTTTGAAAATATTTTGCAACCCTGCACGCGATCCAACAAATCATCTATTCGCGGTAACGGTTCAACATTCTTCACTGTTATATCATTTAATCTTCTATAGTCTATACACATGCGAACGCTGCCATCTTTCTTAGGTACAAAGAGCACAGGCGCACCATAGGGTGAGGAGCTAGGTCTTATCCAACCATTTTTCAGCAACTCATCGAGTTGGGTTCGCAATTCATCCAATTCTTGGGGCGACATACGATAGATAGGCCCTTTCGGAGGTGAACTCCCTGGAATGATATCAATGCGGTGTTTGATGGGTCTTTCCACTACACCACTTGGGGCTTCAGCCACATCTGCGAACTCTTTCAGGATTCTTTCAATCTTCCGAGACTTGACTTCTTCTTTACTTTCCCCTTCCTTCACTGGGCGCACATATGCAACAAAGACTTGGTCATACAAGTTGTATTTCTTTACATGGCGAACGAACGCTGGGGCACTCATGCAACAATGAGCTAGGCTGCTTTCCTTTCCAGACTCATGATAGAGACGAATTTTCTTCTTACCTCCTTGCGGACTTGGGAGCCAACATTCATGTTCCCTCAATTTCAAATCCGCATTTGCAGCCTCACCCCAATCCATACCTAACAACACATCAAAGGGCAAGTTATCCTCCACCAAGAAAGTCAGAGAGTGGAGAACGCGTTCCACCTTCCCCTCTGCCTCTAGCCAAAAGTATACTTGAATCCCCTCGACGTATTGATCCATAACAACTTCAGTACTATTAGCTAATTTACTTACAATGGGCTCTTTCAATCGTTTAATCTTAAGCCCAAGACGCAGTTTCTGTAATCCTTTCTTACTAATATAACTGCGTGTAGATCCGCTATCTATCAAACCTCCTACTCTTATTTTATTTACTTCAAGATCTGCAATTATTAACTGTCCTTTCTTCTTTCTCATTTCAGTCCAGGCTTGGCGACGAGCGACCAACTCATCACCCACACCAGCGAGGGATCCATCTAGAGAGATGCATATGTTTGCCACCTCTGGACAGTGCACTAGATGGGGACTGTCTTCCTCTTCAGTTTCTGCCATTGGAGCTTTCGAATGGGAGGATTCTAATTTTTCAACATTCGAAGCTCCGGTAGAGGCAACTAGCACCTCTACTGGCTGTTCCCTTTTTCCCCCCTATAGTCAGGGCAATAGGGGACAATGTGGTCGGGGTCCCCACACTTGAGACATTGGTATGCTTTCTTTCGTTCTTGCCACACCTTTTCTGTTATTCCCAGTTCTTTCCAAGGCTCCCCTTCGGGTAGGCCTGGATGTGGTGGGTACGGTTTGTCCCACTTGTTATACCACATGCCCCTTCCTCTACCCCAAGTGGAATAAGAACCACGACCACTTTGTGAGGGACCATTTCCCCTTCCTCCCACGTAATGGCTTCCTTCACCACCACCCCTCTGGGTGCCGAATCCTCGTCCACCACGGCCGCGACCTCTTTCTCGGCCACGCCCTCTTCCTTGACGCCCTCCCCCGCGGGCTACAACTGCCGCGTAACTCCCCTCCTGAGCTACCAGTCCGCTGGGTTCATCAAGACCATAGTCTACCTGATCCCAGGAGATGGTCTCGACGCCTCCTTCTTCAAAGGTTAGAAGGAGACTATCTTTCCCAGGTATAGACCCTGAGATGGTGCGGTTTTGCCATTTCTTTCCCGCTTGCAGATCCTTCCAATAATGGCAATAGTTCGCTTCAGCGAGGAAGCCGGCGTGATCTATTGCGATCTTGCCGAACTTCTCATACGTCATTCCTTCCTCTTTGACGTGGGATAAAGTTGTGTTCTCAAGGGATATGGTAGTGCTCTTGCAAAGCTATTCAATATTTGAGCAGGTGTAAGTCCATGGTCGGGGCATTGCAATAACTCATCCATAGTTGCTTTCAGGGCAGAGGTACTTTTCCATTTCCTATCAGGGAGGTTGAGGATTAGCATTTTCGTGCGACGTGCTAAGTTTTTGTCCTCAAATCTTTCTCTAATTGCTTTAAGGAAATCTTCAATTCGTGTTTGTTGCGAAAACTCTACCATTGAACTGCATCCCGCCTCTTTTTGTAGCGAGATGGCAAAGCTCATGGCATCGCCTCCCATGCATGAACTTGCCATTAGCACCCTGTCCCAGTATGGGATTCGTTGCTCGTATACATACGTTTCTATTGCTGCTGCCCAATGCAAAACACTCTCTTCTTTCTTTCCATTATAAGTCCATGGCAGTTTAAGTTTAATCTTACTAACCTGCCCTGTCTCCTGTGGAAGTTTTCCCTTTGGATCCCCAACTCCTTTCCCCTTCTTGTCATCATCGCCATCGCCATCACCATCTCCTCCTCCGCCTCCAGCTTCCTTCACGATCTTTTCTATAACTTCGGGAGTGAAAGTCTTGGTGACATGTTCATCCAAGGCCTTGATATATGTCTGGACGTGTTGGTCAACATCCTTTGCTGATTTTTCTACGACATTATTCCAGACAGTTTCGAATTCAACCCGATGTGTTTCTACTCTTTGTAATGTTTGGCGCATCAAGGCCATGTTCTACCTTGTGTTGAGGACGGCCTCCCTGAGGAGAGCAAGTTGTTATTTTGTTGCAGAGGGTTTATCCTTTTGAGCTTCTAATGCTTTCTGTAATTTTTCCCCTTTTACCTGCAGCTTCTTTTTTTCTTCCACTTCTTGCCTTCTGGCTGCTAACAACTTATTATTCAATTCAGCCCTTTTCTCCTCCAGCATCAGATTGCGTTCGACGGTGTCGGTTATCGTGGTTAGCTTGGCAATGAATGTATCCCGTTCCTCTTCAGATTCTCTTAACGGTTTGCTGGAGTAGTAGTACTGGCTACCCCAGTCCAGCAGTTCAACGGGAAGGCGGGTCGCTGTACTACTTTCAGGTATATCAAGATGACGACGTCTTTGCAATGTCTCTCCTCCATCCTGCTCTTCTTCTTCTTCTTCTCGTATACTCTTCAACTCCTCTTCTAATTCCTTGTCCATCTTTTCTTTCATCTTTCTCTTTGCTTCTTCTTCTTTTTGTTTCTTTTTAGCTTCTTTTTCCTTCCTTTTCTCTGCCAACCTGCAGTCAATCTCTGCCTGTTCCGCAGGTGTGGGCCCAGGCTTTACTGTTCCAGATTGCATTAACATGCGGGATGTACACACACGTCCGAATCCCAGCGGGAACATCAACCGGAATAATGGACCCAAAAGGACAGAGAGGGCCAACAGGCCCTGGATGGGATAGTCGTCCATGGTGACGATCGGCACAGGAGGTCCTCCGCCGGATCACCACAGTACTATCCCACTCAGAATCACTTACTGATTCAGTCTTGATTCGTGGTGAGTGGGTAACTTTCGTTTCTATTTTTTGTTTTTTTTGTTTTTTTGACTATAGAAGGTGCTGCGCACAATAACTACTCAATCAAGGTGTAAGCAATGCTTGCTCTTTGTATATGTATATATATATTTTTTTTATGCTGTCTGGCTCCCCTGGATCAGACTCTTTGCAATGCGTTTCTGGTATCTTGTTGTACCTCCTCCTTGATGCTTTGTTTAGCTACTAATTGGCTGGCTGTTTGGATGCAGGTATGGAGTACAACGCAGAAGTATCAGATGCAGATGGCTTGCTTGGTTAGCCAGGCAGTAATACTTAGCTCCAGTTTTTCTTCTTTCAGGTTCTGTAGATGCTCAGTATCATACTTGCACTGCCTGGTCCTTGCAATCTGACGTGGCACATTGCCACTACCCACATCGATTCACAGTTTCCTAATACTGTGAAACAACTGTTCAATCAAGAGGGGTAGGAGAGAACTCTACTCCTACTCACAGAACACTGACCACCTAATCTGATGTGACCAGGCCCTGACACATTGCATTCGGACCATCCAGACTCTGACAACTCATACCCTGACACACTATGATGATCCAGATCCAGTCCTGACTTCCAGTCCAGCAACAGTCACCTTCAGAGGGAAAGAGAGAGAGAAGGTAGGGGACACACACATGCATGCAGGTTGAGGGAAGGAGGTGCTTCTCTCTTGTTGAAGATACCGCTGATGATGCTCCACGACGCTCCGCACGCTCCAGGTAAGTAACCTTCGCCTCTTCTTCTTTGGCCTGCTTCCCCCACTATCAAACACTTCTTCTCCTCCTCCCTTCCTCCACTAATCCTCCATCACCACTTTCTTCTCGCCGGCCTTGACCATGCCAGCACTATGAGTGCAATGAGCTTCTTGCTCCAATACCAAATTTTGCATGGGTCCTGTGGACCATCTCACGCAAGAGTGTACATGACACGCATCATCTTCACACACAATGACCAATAGTCTCACACATTAGACAAGGGTAGATGAGAAGAGAACCGAGTTGCGCAACTTATATTATCCAAAAATATGATTACAAAGAGTT